AAAAAAAAAAATTAAAAAAAAATTAGCATGTGTAATGTGATCCGATTTAGGAAACTTACATATACATACATTCACACACCACCACCACCTATGAGGGAGCGCTCATGCCATACTAAACCTAGATAAGGTGAGTGAGTGCTTCCTGGTGACCTGGAGGAAAGAGAAAGGCCTAGTGCAGGGGTGGGAACCTGGCTTGATATCATGTGCTACCCAAGAGGGACCTTGAACACATTCAACAACGTGAAAGAAGCCAGACACAAAAGACCATGTGTTATGTGACTCCAATGACATGAAATGTTCCGAAAGGCAGAGCCACAGAGACAGAAAGCAGATTAGTGGTTGTTTGGGGCTGGGGGCAGAGCAGCTGGAGAGTGACTGCTAATGGGAACAGAATTGATGGGGGCTGACAGAACGTTCTAGAATAGGGCACTAATGATGGTTGCACAACCTTGTGAAGGTCCTGGATGACTCTGGCAGTATATATATCATATCTCAGCAAACTGAGGAGGGTAGGGAAGCATACTACATACTGCAGTCCTAGCCCTGAACATTTCTCTCAGGGATGGAGTGACAAGGTCATATTCCCCACTATGCACATCCTACTGCAGAAGATCTCATGCTATACACACATCCGAGTCCCCCAGCAGCTCTCTGGTCTTCATGACAATATAGACTAGGACTAATCCATGAGAAACGCTGGCCTTTTGGCCTTCTGAGAGCTGTTGGATGGGGGCAGGGGACTCCGCCTCACCAGGCTCGGAGGGGTTCTCCTGTCCCACAGAAGCAGGCTCCATGGACGAGGTAGAGGCCGTGTGGAAGAGGTCTGATGTCGACGTGGATGGCTGTGGCTCCTCAAAGCATTCCGGGGTGGCAGGTGGAGGTGACAGGGGCAGGGCCGGGGCATCACCACCACTGCCTATTCCTGAGGTCTCTTTGGTCATGAGGAACACATTTTCTTTATTCGTGTCTGTAACCACAAAGTGAAGAAGATCAGGCCCTCCGGGCTTATTGGGACACTGCTGCTGAAGCAGAGAAACCGCAGCGAGGATGCGTGTTTTCCAGAGAGAACATGCGCTACTTTGCTGTACTCACCAAAGGGCTCGTGCGTGGTGCCTGGCTTTTCCTGTAAAGATTCATAGAGGTATGCCACATCTAAAAGGAAACAACTCAAATCAGAGGCCTTCTGACCCATGAGGAACTGAACATTTTGTTTCCTCCATTTGTTCCCCAAATCCTCTGATGTCTCCCACCAGTCACTTCCTTGTCACGCTGTCTTTATTGGCCAGTCTCACTTTTCAGCCGCTAGCTCAAATGAGCAGTAGGATGATTTTGAAAGATGTGATGAAAAACCTCTTGCCCAACTGTAAAATATATCGGGATTCCAGAAGGGGACTCAGGAAAGGCACAGCAACTGCAAGGTGAGAAAGCCATGCCTGCTTGCAGCTCCACTGGGGTAACCTGAGGGCCTGGATGAGAAAGTAATGCAATGCAGCTAAATCACCCATGCTCATAATTACAGATCTGGAAAGCCAACTCCGGTGGGGAAAGACCCTCACGGTTATGAGATTATAGATAAGTCTTAATATACATTCTTATGACTGGACACAGTCCCTCCAATTACCCCCCATCATAAAAGAACTGTCATAAAGGAGCTACCATGTAAGATGAATCATTTCTGTGTCTGGCTACTTTACAATGTCTAAAATTTATCTGTAGGTAAGAGCAATCAGGTTCTATAGCCAACCCACCTTAAGCATAGCCAACTCTACTTTGACACCTCTTGGGAGCCCTGGGGAAGGCTCACGGAGTTTTGAGATCAAGTACCACCAGGTCAAGACAAATGACTCAGCTCACTGCTTGTTTTTTATGTTATTTGCTTATGATATCACCCACTGACTTTGTAATATGTTAGCTGTATGTTGCACATGCCTTATGAAAAGACTTGTAAGCCCCATTATATATACCCACTGGAAATGCCATTCACTCTCTCAGCCCTGACATGGGACGTGGAGCCCCTGTGCCCCACTGTCAGTTTGTCTGTCTTTATAGTTTCCACAATCACAAAGTTGCTCCTGAGGACCTGTTTGAGTGTTGGAGACACCCCTCCCCTCACCCCAACACTCCACATTTTTCAATGAATGGACTCAAGAATCCTTCCTATGATTGTGCTGAAAGTGACCTGGAGACTCTATGTTCTCTTCTGCCAATGGTCTGGAAATATTTTCCCCCAGCTCTTATAAGGTCCCCCATATCTACCTGTCCTATACTATTTTTCCAGAAACCTAAACACAGATTCATGGATCTGAAAAGGCTCGGGAGCCAGTCCAAACTTTTATCTTGATGTGTGGTCTCCAAAAACAGAACCATCCCAAGCGCCAGTCACGTGTTCCCAGGCTTTATTGCCATGACACTAATGTCTTCTGTTCTACATCCTATCCCATCTCCATTCACTCTTCCTTGGCTGCCACCTGAGAGACATGGCTAATGGCACAATTAGAGTCTGAAAATGAGGCTAGGCCTTGCCCTGATCCCCATGGAGAAGCATGCTCTCCATCAGCAGGATTTTCCCTGCAGCACCCCAGTGATCCACCCAGTGAGGGCCTTTTCTCTTACTGTGTTCCGGCTCATTCTTTCTGTACACCACGTAGATGACATCCCCTGTGTGCAGAGGGCAGGTCTGCTTCTTAACAACCTTCAGCTTGTTAATGACTGTCCCGTTGGTGCTGTAAAGAAGACAATAGAACTTACCACACCTGCAATGGCTTAGAGTTAAAAACCGTGTCCTAGCACCACTAAGAAAAGGGGTCTTTGTCGCCATTTACAAATATGAAAGTGCTCGGAGGAGTGGTGCAGTATTTCACGAGTTAGATGTGCAAGTAAGAGGAAGACATGCTGATGAAGACCCAGGGTTGCAGCCTTCAGTGCGGATCCCCATTCAACGTGAAGGTGACTAAACTGAAAACCCTCACAACCGGACCTGTAGATAAATCATGACAAATGGAGTAAAGGTTGAAGTTGCCATGGATTTTGTCTTGCTTGGATCCATAAATCAATGTTCACAGAAGCAGCAGTCAAGTGATCAAAAGATGCATTACATGCAAGAATACTTGGTCCTATTAAAATGGCATTCCATGATGCTCACCTTCCCGACACAATTACCAAAGACAAAGTGGGCGCAAAAGCACACAGAAGAAACAAAGCCCACACAGAACAAGCACACCAGCCTGTGTGATCACGAGGTGCCGAAGGGATCAGGTATCAGGCATCAAAGAATTAAAAAAATCATATCATTGTCTGCTCATCTGCCAGATATGATCGTGGAAGGCAAATGGGTGCATAAGCAAATTTGGTGAAGAAAGTTGATGGTGCTCGGCTATCAAAAGATATAGCATCTGGGGTCTTAAAGGCGTGAAAGTAAACAAGCAGCCATCTAGCTCAGAAG